ATAATTGATAATTTGAAATAGGAAAAAAGGTCCAAAGACAAAGGAGTGAAGGGAGGGGAAGGGGAAAGGAAAAACTATGAGAAAAGAAAAAAAAAATGGAAATGAAATCTATGTAAATAGGGAAGGGCAGAGGGGGTGAAGGGTGCACAGGTAATGGGGGGGAAAGAAATAAGAACCAAGATATATCATGTAAAGGACAAATACCCAATGATAAATGTAAATGAATTGTATACCTAAAATGTACCAATAAAAGAAGAAAAAAGGAAAATCTGAAATAGAGCTCAAAAAAAGAACAAAGAAGTGTGCCCAAATTAAACCCAGGGCATGTGCCAGAGGTTTGGAATGTCAGCAAGAGTGGCCATCACAGCCAGGAGTGTGGAGCACGCCTGTAATCCCAACATAGTGAGTTCAAGAACAGGCTGAACTACACACTGAGACCCTTTCTCAAAAAACACAAACAAACTAAAAAAGCACGCATTGCTACACCTACCTAGAAATTATTATTCCAGATCGTGTGCTAGCAGGAAGAGCCTAAATCTAAGTTCCTCTGGCCAGCAAGCAAGGCTTCTAGAGCCATACCCTCCATCACTACAGCTTTTTCTTGGTGCAACAAGGAGAGGTTCAAAAGTCTCACACCTTTTTTTCCTCTCTTTTTTTGAGACAGCATCTCACTATGCAATTCAGACTGGCTTCAAACTTACCCTGTAGCCAAGGCTAGCCTCAAATTTTCAGCAATCCTCCCACCTCAGCCTTTTCAGGGCTGGGATTACAGGCCTCTGTCTGTCAGAATCACACCTTTTAAGAAAATTTCTTTCTGGATATGTTAGTAAGTTTAATCTATCTGATTGACAGCAGCTTTAATACGGGTATTTTGGAATACCACATGGCTCACATACTTGTGACATGTTTGGGTGCTTTAACATTACAACTTTGACATGCAATTTCACAGGTAGATTTCTAAATTTAAGCCTCGGTTGCTGGTGTGCAAGAATAACATAAAACAGAAGTCAATAACATAACCTAATGAATTCCAGGTGCACAATATTACACTTTAGAGATCTACGTTTAACACATATACATTTTTTTCCTTTTGCTTTTTATTGAAATGCTAGTTGTCATCAAGACTTAGAAGTATTATTATATTGGGCCGGGGATTTAGCTCAGTGGTTTCGCCGCCTGGTGCGCAAACTCAAGGACCAGAGTTCAATCCCTGGTACCAAAAAAAAAAAGTACTATTATGTGGGCATGGGGGATTTAGCTCAGTGGGCACTTTGCCTGCCTCAAAAGCGCAAGGTCCTGAGTTCAATCCCTGGTACCACAAGTACTGTGTATATAGATTTACTTGCTGTTTGTGAAAAAGCCAGTTATTTTAAGTACCTAAAGATCAGGCATTCAGTTTGATTTATTAATATTGTGAATTAATATAGGTTATATTTCATGATTGAATATAAGCCTTAAAAATACATCTCCTTAAATCAGATCTCATATATTTTAAGCCACTTACTAAATACCAGACTAGAGGGTTTTTTTGTTTTTTGGGGTTTTTGTGGGGTTTTTTGGTACCAGGGAGCGAACTCAGGACCTTGTGCTTGTGAGGCAGGCACAGTGCCACTGAACTAAATCCCCAGCCCCAGACTATATAATTTGGTGGAAATTATTGACCGTCTTCAAAGAATCCCAGTCACTGAGGAATGGTAGCAATCTGTGTTAAAATTTTTATCATGTATAGTAAAATAAAGAAAAAAGTAATACGTTTCCTAAAAGCAAATGTATTAACTTCAAAGGACTATCCATCATTAGAATACTTCCTATTTTTTGTACAAAATATCCTTTTATGCAGTAAAAATGTAAAGATCTTCAAATTTGTCAATATCTTTATTTGGTAAAATATAAAGTTGTCCACTTGATGTTTCTCTCTTCTTCATTATTGTCATTACTGCTGGTTTTTGTTTGTTTGGTTGGTTTTTTTGAGACAGGGTCTTGCTTTGTAGTGCAGGTGGGGCTTAAATTTACTACTTAGCCCAGGCTGGCCTTGAATGCAGTGATCCTCCTGCCGCAGCCTCCCAAGTGCTAGGATTACAGGTATGTACCACCTCGCCTGGCTACTGCTGCCGATTAAATCCAAAAATTTGGTGACTACTGATCTATTTTATCTCCCAAATTTCCTATTTTATGATATCTAAACTGGTAATTATCACCTGGTCCTTACAGTATTTCTAGGAAAAAAAATGATTGTGTGTAACGTACAAATGCTTTCATCAGGTTTAGAGACTACCATGGCATTTTATTTTATTTTTTAAAGCTTATATTCATTGTATAAACTAAGTGGTTAAGAATGAGTGAAAGGATGTGGAAGGTTATAGTTATCCAGTGCCTTAAAGTCTTCACAGGCCTATCATTATGCTCTCATTTAATCTTCACAACAACCCTATGAAGTATGCGGGACACTGAGACATTTACATTGCTCAATGTCAAAGGAAGAAATGAAGTCCCCAAACTTAGAATGCACATAGTGTGCATTCTGCCTTCTTGGAGCTGGAGAACACTCACTGGCAATGGGTCATTTAAAATCAGAACTTGTTTGCTGCTGTTTCTGATCACTCTGACCATACTTCATGTTCTCACCTTAACTGGCCTAACTGAACATTACAGTGGGAGGATGAAAACTTGCTGTTTCCACTTCAGTCCCATATGGATTCTAACCAGTTCTTAAAAGCGCCATTATTTTTTCCTTCTCCTAAGTCACCACCATATCAGCACCTCCAGTGACCCTGCCACACTATTACAGATATGATGTTTTTATGGCTTTGGGAAAGGAAAGATCATAAGTTGAAAGAAATAAAACATTATGCAAAAAAAAAGAACAAACAAAAACAAAAAATTAGCTGCTCATGTAAGCATTTTGTTTCCTAACTCTAGAACCTCTCTGTTTTCATATAATTTCGGTACTGCCAGAAGGCAAAAACAAAAATGCCACCCTGCTTATTTTCCTTCTTGGTGAGGTAATACAATTCAGCACATGTTCAAGAAAAAAATTATCTAAGAAATTTTATTTCTGTTTATTATTTTCAAGGCTGTAATATTTGCACTCTCCTCTTTGAAAGTTGCATTTTTAGAAGGCTATAATTTAATGAATTGAATATAAGCCTTAAAAATACATCTCCTTAAATCAGATCTCATATATTTAAAGCCAGAATCTTGCCACTATTCCAAGAGCAAAAAGTTTTAGCACTGGGAACTGCAAATAAATATTTGCTCTTATGTAAGAGAAAATTTTCCTTTCTGTTTCGGAAAAGGAGAAAATTATTCAATAAAATTCTAGTAATGGGATGCATTGTAGTTTGCATCTAAAAATAGATAAAAGAAAAGTTTCTTGAAAATATACTGCTTTTGTTCCACTGAGAAGTAAATTTTAGTGGCCTCTATCAACTATCCTTTGATACCTATTGGAGTTTGGAAGAGAGAAGTTCTGAATGAGATCGTAAGTTGAAAGAAATAAAACATTATGCAAAATAGTCTTTTCTCCAAAAAGACGATTTTTTCTTTTTTTTCTTTCTTTTTTTTTTTTTTTGAGACAAGGTCTCACTATGTAGTTCAAACTGGCCTTGAATTCACTGTCTAGCCCAGACTGGCCTCAAAATCGCAGCGATGCTCCTGCCTCAACCTTCCGAGTGCTGGGGTGACAGATGTGCTCCGCCACGCCCGCCAAGAGTTATATTTCAGACGCATGTTACGTGCTATGATTATATTGTAAGAAATACTCTAGTGTGCATGATTACCCAGTACTGTTAGATAAGAAATTTTGTGCTGAAGTGTGATCAGAAAGCTTCCAACAGAAACTGACTTGAGAAAAGATGCTTCTACGGGACCAAGCGGTTACACTTTCAAGTGCGCGCTTCACGTACTTCGGAAAGAGGTACAGATTTTGGAAAGGGTAGACCCCAACTTTGACAGAAGAAATCGTTTCATTAAATAGTGATTTTTAAAAATTTTTTTTTATTTTTTGGTTCCAGGGATCGAACTCACGACCTTGCGCTTGCGAAGAAGGCCCCAGAACCACTGAGCTAAATCCCCGGCCCCAAATAGTGATTTTTTTAAAGTAAAAGAAATGCTGTAATTTATAACACTTTGCATCAAGTTCCGTTGCCCAGCGACAGAGCCAACACTTGGAGGCGGGCCCAAGGCGCGCCAGCGGCAGTCTCCTCCCCTTCCGGGCTCTTCGCGCACTCCCAGAGATGACTGCAGAGCTGCCCGGGGATTTTTTTTCCCAGGCTGTCTTCATTTCGTGTCTATCCAAGTCGTCGGCTGCTGGAGCGACTGCCACCTTCTGTGATCTCCATAGTCTCAGGAACAGGAAACGGACCTCACACCTTCCAGATTGCTTCGTCTTTCAGGAACACTATTTGTACGGGTAAGAAATACCATCATTTTTATTTGGAAACCGGGATATGACAATGAGAAGTAAAAAAAAAATTTTTTTTTAAACTATTGAGAGGAATTTAAGCCCTCACATCTCGAATACGGGCAGTCAGTAACAGCCTAAGGAACAAAAGCGAAGTCAGAGCAGAAACTTTTTTCAAACTTTTTGTCTTCATTCTCTTTACTCTCTCAGGAATTATTGAGTACCCTAGGTTATTTACTGCATTGTTATAATTTACTTTATTAGAAAGTAAAACTAAAAGATTTTAAAATAATTATCTTAAAATGATAAGCACATCACATTATCATAAATGACAGTTTAAAAATAACTGTGTAGCCGGGATTTAGCTCAGTGGTTCCGCCGCCTGTCTCGCAAGCTCAAGGTCCTGAGTTCGATCCCGGTACCAAAAATTAAAAATAAATAAAATAACTATGTATTCTGAAAAAATCTAGTGTTAATAATGAATTTTTTCACTTTTGCAAATCTGATGTCTGGCTAAGTAGAAGACTCCCTTCAAGCTATTGCAGTGTCACACAGGCTGTATCCTCTGGTAAACTCCTGTACACTTGTGAAAGAATGAGAGTGAAAAAGACAGATTACATCCTCGAATCACTAGAAAATAGCTTTGATTTTGTGAACCGCTGAGAATCCTTACTTTGAATGATGTAATAGATAAGCTCTTCTTTTAAGTAAGCCTCGACTCTGAATCAGTTACATTAAAACCGAACAAAAACTTTGTACAAGGTTGTTAATCTTGATGGAATCCACATCACCCTTGGGATGACTGGCACTTCCGCCCCCGCCCCCGCCCCCGCCCCCGCCCCCG